CCCCGCCGTCGCGGCCGTGGCGGCCCCCGGGCTGACGTCGCCGTCGCTGCGCCCGACGCCGTCGCTGGTGGCTGCTGCCGCGAAGCTGCCGAAGATGCTGCTCGACCTGCAGCGCTTCAGCAGAGGGAGGGCCTCCTCCTCCTCCTCCTCCTCCTCCTCCTCCTCCTCCTCTCATCATCATCATCATCATCATCACCTCTGGCCCCACCCCGCCGGCCGAGAGGCGCACCTGCCGGCGGCTGTCGATTGCTGGCGCCGCTTCCGCCGCCGCTCCCGTCCTCGCCCTCCCCCGGCCCCTCTGCATCGCTGCCGTCGTCGCTCGCGCCGCTCTCGCTGCTGCTGTCACTGCCGCTCCCCTCAAAGCTGCTGATGTCACTCCCAGCATCGCTGTCGATGTCGCTGCCGCTGCTGCTGTCACTGCCGCTGCCATTGTTCCCTGGCTCTCCCTCACTCACAATGTCGCTGCTGTTCACAAGAACTGTGCGGCGGGCCGCCACCCCCGTAATGGGGCTCATGGGACGCTCCTGCACGCGCCGCCGCCGCCCAATTCGCGGCCGCCGCTGCTGCAGCTGCTCCTCTACCCCCTCCTCTGAATCTGCATCGACCGCCGCTCGCGCCTGATGCTTATCTTGGCGCGCCTCCTCTCGCTCCTGCTGCTGCTGCTCCTGCTCCTGCTGCTGCTGCTGCTGCTGCTGCTGCTGCTGCTGCTGCTGCTGCTGCTGCTGCCCAATTCCATCCAAATGCGCCAGAGCCACGTCCCACGCGGACCGTCCCTGCTCCCTCCGCCGCTTTCGCCCGCTGCCCGCCGCCGCCGGCAGCGGGGTCTCCTGCGAATCGCCTCCGGCCCCCACCGGCGCCGGCGCCGGCGCCCCGTCGCCCTCGGCCTCGCCCACCCGGCCGCTGAAGGCACCAAACACCATCGCCTCCACCTCCGCCGCCCGGCCGTCGCCGCCTCGCTCCCCGTCGCCCGCCGGCCCGCCGCCCGCGCCGCAAGGGCCGCGTACGCTCTGCGTCCGCAGCAGCGGCCGCACCTCCGCCTCGCGCCGCAGCAGCTCCCGCCGTAGCGCCAGCGTGAACCACACGACGTGCTGCCGGCTGCGGCACACCACCATCCCGCGGAAGTGCGCCGCGAACCCGCCGCCGCTGCCGCCGCCGTCGTCATCATCGTCATCACTGCCGCCGTCGCCGTTCAATCTCCCAGAAGATGCGCGCCAGGCGGAGACGAAGCGCTCCGCGATTTCGGCCGCTTTTGCCTCCACCAGCGCGCGGCTGTTGTTCGCCGCCTCCAGCAGCAGCCGCTCCGCCAGCGCCGGCGACGCCTCCCCCTCCCCGTCCCCTTCCCCCTGCTCAACCTCCTGCTGCTTCTGCCTCCTCCCGCCCTCCGCGCCGCCGCCGGCCGTGGCGGCGGCGGCGGCCGCTGCAGCGAGCAGCTCAACTCCGCTGATCTCCAGGCGCGGGGTCAGAGCGGTGAAGCGCCGCAGCGCGTCAAGCACGTGGCCGTCCGCAATCGCCTGGTGCAGCGTGTACGAGTGGAATGGGGCGAAGAGCTCTGCGGGCACGAGTGGCGCTGCGTCCGCGTCCGCGTCGGGCGCGCCGTCCTCCTGCTGCTGCTGCTTCTGCTGCTGCTGCTGCTGCTGCTGCTGCTGCTGCTGCTGCTGCTGCCCGCCGCTGTCCACGACGGCCTCTACGTCCCCGAGCGCGTTGAGCAGCACCGACCGCCGCACGCCAAACATCTGCAGCGCCCGCGGCTGCGGCGTCGCCGTGAAACCGAAGTAGCTGACCCATGCCGGCTGCTCAACTTGCGCGGGCGCCGCGCCGGCGGCGCCGCCCTTCCCACCGCTGCGCCGAGCTCCAGGGGCGGCGCGCGCGCGGCCGAGGCGTCCGAGGTTGCAGAGGACCGAGTGAATGGCGTCCGAGCTGCCTCGGCCGTGGTGGCGGTGAGCCTCGTCGCAGATCACCGCGACGCGCCCGCCCCACACGCTGCCCCTGCCGCCGCCTCCGCCGGCTTTCTCCAGCCTGGCTTGCCGCAGCGCCCCGAGCGTCGCTTCCGGCTTGCCACCGCGATCACCCTCCTCGTCTTCGTCTCCCGAGTCCCCGCCGGCGGCCCCGGGCCGGCCCCGCTTGCGGCCGGCGGCGCCGCCCGCACGCGCGGCGGCGCCGCGGCGCGCCAAGGCGGCCAGCTTCTGGATTGTGGTGAGCACAACCACAGGCCGGCGGCAGGCCCCATCCCCGTCCTCCGCGCCGACGCCGCCCGCGGCCGCGCCCGTCAAGAGGTGCCTTTCAAGCTCAGCCACGCTCCCCGCGCGCAGCAGCGCGCCGGGCGGGTGGCCATTGCCTGCGAGCGCCGGGCGCGAGAGCGGCGGCTCGGTCGCACCACCACTCGCCGCTCGTATTGCGGCGCCTGTCGGGCAAGCGCTATCTTTCGAAACTGCCCCAACCCCGTTTACAGCAGCTGCCATAGCCACCGCTGCCCCGCCCAGCCGGCACGAAACCTCAAAAACCGCTTCGATGGTCCCGTGGGGCAAGGGAATCGAGTGGTGCCAGATCCAGGGTTTTGCAATCTGGGTTGGGTTAACATTTCCAAGGCAGAGCAGACACTCACCAGCCAGAAAGGAGGCGATGGTGTCCCCCAGCTGCGCATCCAGCTGCAGCCGGTCGTTCACGACGAGCACCGCGCCAAACTCGCCGCCCCTGCCCCCGCCGCCGCAGCCGCAGCCGCCGGCGCAGGCGCGGCTGCACTCGGCGCTGCCTGCCGCCGGTTTGTAGGCCAGTAGGCCGTGGACGAGCGCCGCGATGGTGAGGCTCTTGCCGCTGCCGGCAGAGTGCTGCAGCAGGTAGTTGCGCGCCGCCGGCGCCGCTGAAGACGACGCAACGTTTGACCGCGCGTTGACCGGCGCCGCCGCGGGCACGCCGTGGCTGACGGCGATCAAGTTGTCGGACGGGGCGGCGCCCTCGGACGCAGCTGCGTCGGCGTCATGCACTGCGAGCAGCAGCTTGGACACGGCGTCGATCTGGTGCGCGCGCCCGGCGACGCCGGCGCGCTCGAACGACTGCGCCACAAACGCCTGCGGGCCGGCCGCGGGTGCGGCTGCCTCGCCGTTGATGCCGTCTGTGGCATCTTCCATTTGCCGGTGCAGCCAGGCTACCTGCTGAGCACCATCTGGGTGCTGACAGTGTTGTGTGGACGGAGAGCGGCGCGGCGCGCCTGGACAGCGCGTGGAAGTGGCTGCCTCGGCACCTCTGGCGCTGCCGCTTGTGATGCACGGCGATTCAAAGGTAGCAATCAAGGCGATGACGGCGAGTACGGGGATTTTACCCGCCTTGCGTTGTGGTGCGCTAGTACTCAGGTCAACGGGTGACCCGGAGCTGGCCGCAGGTGTGCGGCGGACCAATCCGAGCGCTGAGCTATCTTAAAAGCATATGAGTCGGTGACGTGGACTCCAGCAAACATAGGCATGTCCCCATGATCTGGCCGACCTTTGCGCTTCGGCGACGCGCTCGAAACCATTCGCATTGTATAGTGTCGGCCTTTTCCTGATCCAGCCCATCGGCCATTGCATCTATTCACTCACGGGGCGCCGGCGGAGCAGGACTAGTCTCTCTCGGCAGCCATCATGGCGCTTCTGAGACAGATACAGCCAATGGGGATGCGCAGTGGTCTTGATAAGAGGATGGGGCAGTCCCAGACGGTCGCCATTGCCCGGCCAGGCTTGGCTCTTGCTCGCACGGGATTTGCGCGTAGGGCGCCCATTGCCAGGAGGGTGGCAATGCCGGAGGCTCCCGCTGCAGAGGTGTGCTCGCAATTCCTGCAGCTTGCGCTGCATACGCGCCGGAGCAGCCGCTGCACCGTGGCCGGCGCAAGTATGACTGAGTGCCGCGCCACGCGCACGATCAGTGTGTATGTTGTGCATTTGATGGGGATTCAGAGATTGTCAGCCTTGAACAGACAGCCTGATTATGGACGCTTGAACGCAAACTCAGCAACCACACCACAGCGACGCAGTGCGAGGTCGCACGGCGGGCGACACCCGCCCCGCGCCCCCTGCAACGCCGCGCCCCGTTGCCCCCACGCGCGCGCCGGCCCCCCAC